GGAATCAGCTGGTTTTCCCTGTAATAGGCAGTAAGAGCACCTAGAGCTTCGGAGAGCTTCTGTTCTACCATCTCAAAGCTCCCTGCTTGAGCGGTGATGGCACGATCATCAGCATAGATGAAACTCTCCGTCCCTTCTGGCAGTGGCTGGTCATTTGTGTAGATGTTGAACATGGATGGAGCAAGCACGCTCCCCTGAGGCAGGCCGTTCTTCTGTTTCCGCCATCTGCTTCTCTGGCCCTGGAACTCAACAAAAAAGCTCCTGTTCGGTAGCTGATTTCCTTGAGTGGTGATGGCACGATCATCAGCATAGATGAAGCTCTCTGTCCCTTCTGGCAGTGGCTGGTCATTTGTGTAGATGTTGAACATGGATGGAGCAAGCACGCTCCCCTGAGGCAGGCCGTTCTTCTGTTTCCACCATCTGCTTCTCTGGCCTGGAACTCAACAAAAAAGCTCCTGTTTTGTAGCAGGTTTCCTATGAGGCGGGTGAGGTGGTCGTCCTTTGTGATATTATACATTTTTCTCAGGAGGAGGCGGTGGTTTACAGGATCATAAGCCGCTGACAGGTCTATGAAGACAGCTCCTGTGATCTGCTGCCTTTCAAAGCCATCCCGTTATAAAATGCAAGATACGATAGCAAGAACGATTGCGCTTCACCGTTCCTGCTCTTTTTCATTGAGGGTCCATCTAGAATCATAGAATCATAGAGTTGGAAGAGACCTCATGGGCTATCCATCCCCATTCTTCCAAGAAGCAGGAAAATGGCATTCAAAGCACCCCTGACAGATGGCTATCCAGCCTCTGTTTAAAAGCCTCCAAAGAAGGAGCCTCCACCTTGCTCCGGGGCAGAGAGTTCCACTGCTGAACAGCTCTCACAGTCAGGAAGTTCTTCCTAATGTTCACATGGAATCTCCTTTCTTGTCATTTTGAGCCGTTGCTCCATTGCGTCCTGGTCCCCAGGGCAGCAGAATGATATTATATTGGAATTCTCTAACAGATATTGTAGGTCTTGTTCTAAATGCGCACAGACTATGTTATCATCGGCATATTGGAATTCTATAACAGATCTTGTAGGTCTTCTGCATGCACATAGACTATGTTATCATTGGCATATTGGAATTCTATAACAGATATTGTAGGTCTTCTGAATGTGCACAGACTATGTTATCATTGGCATATTGTAATTCTATAACATATATTGTAGGTCTTCTTGTGAATGTGCACAGACTACATTATCATAGGCATATTGGAATTCTATAACATATATTGCAGGTCTTGAATGTGCACAGACTATGTTATCATTGGCATATTGGAATGCTATAACAAATATTGTAGGTCTTCTTCTGAATGTGCACATACTATGTTATCATAGGCATATTGGAATTCCATAACTGATATTGTAGGTCTTCTTCTGAATGTGCACAGACTACATTATCATAGGCATTTTGGAATTCTATAACAGATATTGTAGGTCTTCTGAATGCACACAGACTACATTATCATAGGCAGATTGGAATTCTATAACAGATTTTGTAGGTTTTCTTCTGAATGTGCACAGATTATGTTATCATCGACATAGTGGAATTCTCTAACAGATATTGTAGGTCTTCTTCTGAATGCGCACAGACTATGTTATCATTGGCATATTGGAATGCTATAACAGATATTGTAGGTCTTCTGAATGTGCACAGACTATGTTATCATAGGCATATTGGAATTCTATTGCAGATATTCCTGCTTCTTGGCAGGAGGTTGAACTGGATGGCCCATGAGGTCTCTTCCAGCTCTATGATTCTATCATTTTATGATATTGTAGGTCTTCTTCTGAATGCGCACAGACTATGTTATCATAGGCAGTTTGGAATTCTATAACAGATATTGTAGGTCTTCTGAATGTGCACAGACTATGTTATCATTGGCATATTGGAATTCTATAACAGATATTGTAGGTCTTCTTCTGAATGTGCACAGACTATGTTATCATAGGCATATTAGAATTCTATAACAGGTATTGTAGGTCTTCTTCTGAATGCGCACAGACTACATTATCTTCAGCAAAGAGCTGGGCATGTTTAGCCTGAAGATGGCTCAAGCAGAAAACTCTCAGAGCACTGTATGCCATTGCAAATGTGTCCGGGGAAGTAGTCAGAGCAGTGACCTGAAGTGCATATCATGTCAGTGCATGTGCTGAAATATGCACATACACTTTCCCCCTTTCTCCGTGTATACCCCCAAAGGGGCCAGCTGTCCTTCCTGGTTTTTTTGCATCAATCCGCTACTGTCTGCCCGAAGCCTGCTCTGGGTGTGCGTTTGTGTGTTAATGCAGCAACAATCCGAGACGGGAACCATGCGCCCGCTCTCCCAGCTGCAAAAATAAAATAAAATCCAACATGGATTGACTTTGCCCCACAGCCTGTTCCTCCCCCCCACTCTCCCATTTTTGGTCTTGGGATGGGGCCGGGGGAGCGAATGGCTTTCAATGACACAATGATTGTGGGAGTGAAGGGAGAGGACAAGACAGCAAAATTTGTTTCCCGGGCGCCCAAAAAGATGGCAAGTTAATTGGCAGGTGTCATCCGGAGAGGGACATTTCGAGGCGCAGAGTCTCATCGTCGGCACGATTTGGAGGGGGTGAGGCGATGGAGAAGATGCAGGGGGATTCGCACCGTCCGGAGGCAGCGCAATCTCCATTCTGGTCACAGCAAACCCAATCCGGCGCCTGCCCACCCTTCCGTTGTTTGCGCTTCGGGCCGTCTGAGTCGCGTGGGCCTCTGGAGAGAGAAGGGAACAGCAGGAGAGCCAGGCTGGGTCAGGCGAAAATAGTCCATTTCGGCAGAAGCAAAGAGTTGGAAGAGATCCCCAAAGGCCATCCAGCCCAACCCCATTCAGCTCTAGATCCATCGTTGGTGGGGTTCAGATCTCTGGCTGCAGGATAAACTACAGCTCCCACCATGTCCCCTCAATCCCTTCAGTTGGTCATAAGGGTTCTGTGTGCCAGGTTTGGTTTAGATCCGTCGTGCGTGGAGGTCACAGTGTCTCTAAGTGAACTACAACTTCCAGAAATGAAGGTCTGTTTCCCCCAAATCCCTCCAGTATTTTCAGTTGGTCATAAAGGTTCTGTGTGCCAGGTTTGGTTCAGATCCGTCGTGCGTGGAGGTCACAGTGTCTCTGGATATAAGTGAACTACAACTTCCAGAAATGAAGGTTGGTTCCCCCCAAATCCCTCCAGTATTTTCAGTTGGTCATAAGGGTTCTATGTGCTAAGTTAGGTCCAGGGTCATCATTGATGGAGTCCAGAGTCCTCTTTGATTGAAGGTGAACTATAAATCTGTCATGCGTAGTGGTCACAGTGTCTCTGGATATAAGTGAACTACAACTTCCAGAAATGAAGGTCAGTTTCCCTCAAACCCCTCCAGTATTTTCAGTTGGTTGTGGTGGTTCTGTGTACCAAGTTAGATCCAGGGCCATCGTTGATGGGGTCCAGAGTGCTCCTTGATTGCAGGTGAACTATAAATCTGTCATGCGTAGTGGTTACAGTGTGTCTCTGGATGTAAGTGAACTACAACTTCCAGAAATGAAGGTCAGTTTCCCCCAAACCGCTCCAGTATTTTCAGTTGGTCATAAGGGTTCTGTGTGCCAGGTTTGGTTCAGATCCGTCGTGCGTGGAGCTCACAGTGTCTCTGGATATAAGTGAACTACAACTTCCAGAAATAGAGGTTGGTTTCCCCCAAATCCCTCCAGTATTTTCAGTTGGTTGTGGTGGTTCTGTGTACCAAGTTAGGTCCAGGGCCATCGTTGATGGGGTCCAGAGTGCTCCTTGATTGCAGGTGAACTAAAAATCTGCCATTCATAGTGGTCACAGTGTCTCTGGATATAAGTGAACTACAACTTCCAGAAATGAAGGTCAGTTTCCCCCAAACCGCTCCAGTATTTTCAGTTGGTCATAAAGGTTCTGTGTGCCAGGTTTAGTTCAGATCCGTCATGCGTGCGTGGAGGTCACAGTGTCTCTGGATATAAGTGAACTACAACTTCCAGAAATGAAGGTTGGTTTCCCCCAAATCCCTCCAGTATTTTCAGTTTGGTCATAAGGGTTCTGTATGCCAAGTTAGCTCCAGGGTCATCATTGATGGGGTCCAGAGTGCTCTTTGATGGCAGGTGAACTATAAATCTGTCATGCGTAGTGGTCACAGTGTCTCTGGATATAAGTGAACTACAACTTCCAGAAATGAAGGTCACTTTCCTCCAAATTCCGCCAGTATTTTCAGTTGGTCATAAAGGTTCTGTGTGCCAGGTTTGGTTCAGATCCGTCGTGCGTGGTGGTCACAGTGTCTCTGGATATAAGTGAACTACAAGTTCCAGAAATGATGGTCAGTTTCCCCAAATTCGTCCAGTATTTTCAGTTGGTCATGGGGATTCTGTATGCCAAGTTAGGTCCAGGGTCATCATTGATGGGGTCCAGAGTGCTCTTTGATTGCAGGTGAACTATAAATCTGCCATTCGTAGTGGTCACAGTGTCTCTGGATGTAAGTGAACTACAACTTCCAGAAATGAAGGTCAGTTTCCTCCAAACCGCTCCAGTATTTTCAGTTGGTCATAAAGGGTCTGTGTACCAAGTTAGGTCCAGGGTCATCATTGATGGGGTCCAGAGTGCTCTTTGATTGCAGGTGAACTATAAATCTGTCATGCGTAGTGGTCACAGTGTCTCTGGATATAAGTGAACTACAACTTCCAGAAATGAAGGTCAGTTTCCCCCAAATCCCACCAGTATTTTCAGTTGGTCATAAAGGTTCTGTGTGCCAGGTTTGGTTCAGATCCGTCGAGTGTAGTGGTCACAGTGTCTCTGGATATAAGTGAACTACAACTTCCAGAAATGAAGGTCAGACCTGGGGTGCAACACTATGTTGCATGCCCAAGGTTAAGGACACTTGGGATGTCTTTAATGCTCACCACATTCTGTCACCGACCCCTCACCTTTCCTGGCTCTTTGTCTCTCCTCTGCAGGGAAAGAAGAGTTTGTGGCGACGTTCAAGGGGAACGAATTCTTCTGCTACGACCTTTCCCACAACCCCATCCAAAGCAGCACCGATGAAATCACCCTCTCCTTCCGCACCCTGCAGCGCAACGGCTTGATGCTCCACACGGGCAAGTCGGCGGACTATGTCAACCTCTCGCTGAAGAGCGGCGCCGTCTGGCTGGTCATCAACTTGGGTTCGGGAGCATTCGAGGCGCTGGTGGAACCCGTCAATGGCAAGTTCAATGATAACAACTGGCACGACATCCGTGTGACCAGAAACCTGCGCCAGGTGAGTGGCGGGTGCCAAGCACATGGCTCCTCGCTTGTGGGTTGGGGCGGAAATAGGAAGATAGGGCTGGACTATCGGGCAAAAACAGTGCATATGTTATTTGATTTTCTTCATCGATATCTGTATACTTCCCGGTCCAGGCACCATCGAGAGGAAGGGTTTTTCCAAAAACGAAGGTCCAATACAATGGTTTTGGACTTTGAGTCCCTGGATATTGCTGGTCTGCACCATCAGATTAAAGCCTGCCATGTTCCAGCTGTTAGGGAAAACTAGTGCCAAACCTAGTGTCGTCCTGAGGACTGTGAGGTAAACCTCTGTGTGAGAGAAGCTAGGGTCGTCCTGAAGAGTGTGAGTGTTGGGGTTCAGTCTGATCCTGATCTGTGTGGACAGGATTCTCTGATAGTTTTTCAAACTGAGCAAGCTCTCCCTGACTCTGACAGTGTGGAATCTGTTGTTGATGCAGAGGTCAGTGGGAATGAAAACGAAACCCAACAGTTAGAAGAGAATGTTTTGGAAGTTAGCCGTGATATCTCCCCACCTGGGCTTGATAATGAGGTCCGAAGAGAACAGATAGTGAGAGATAGATTTGTTTCCCAGTCTGTACGAAGGTCACAGCGCCTTCAGCAGAAAGAGGCCCAAACAGAAAAGTCAAGGGGCGTTTCTAAGAATAGCTTCTTTGGTTTAAGAGCATCCCTGCCGGGTGCTTCTTTAGGTCAAGCAACGTTCGGGACTGTGGCTGGTCTTGGCAGAATTCCTGTGTTCCATGGCCAGTAATCCCAGAGGCTTGTAGTTTCCAAGTTCATGGTTAGTAAAAGGCTAACAGACTCCTGGTTATTGTTTAGTGGCTTTTGAAGTTTTGCTCAAGTTCAGAGATCCTATGGACTACTGTGTTTTTCTGTGGCTTTTTTACTCTGCATTTACCTTTCTTTTGTAACCAATTTTTCATCAATAAACAAGGATTGCTTTTCCTACAGTCCAGAGTGGTGGATTTAATCTTATGGTCTTGTTTCTTGAACTGGGATGCAACAGTGAGTAGGCCAAAGCCTTTTAAGACAGTGGGCCAAAGCTAGTATCGTCCTGAGGAGTGTGAGGTAAACCACTGTGTGAGAGAAGTTAGGGTCGTCCTGAGGAGTGTGAATATGCCAAAGCCTTTTAAGAGTCAATGGGCCAAAGCTAGTGTCGTCCTGAGTAGTGTGAGGTAAACCTCTGTGTGAGAGAAGCTAGGGTCGCCTTAGGATTGTGAGTAGGCCAAGCTTCTTACAGTCAATGTGTAAACGATAGTGTCGCCGTGAAGAGAGCGAGTAGGCCGACGCCTGTTAGAGTCAGTGGGCCAAAGCTAGTGTCGTCCTGAACAGAGTGAGTAGGCTGCAGCATGTTAGAGTCAGCGGGCCAAAACTATTGTCATCCTGAAGAGAGTGAGAGGTTGAAGCCTGTTACAGTCAGTGGGCCAAAGCTAGTGTCGTCCTGAGGAGAGTGAGTAGGCCAAGCTTCTTACAGTCAGTGAGTAAAAGCTAGTGTCGTCCTAAGGAGTGTGAGGCAAACCTCTGTGTGAGAGAAGCTAGGGTCATCCTGAAGAGTTGAAGTAGGCCAAAGCCTTTTAAGAGTCAGTGGCCAAAGCTAGTGTTGTCCTGAAGAGAGTGAGTAGGCTGAAGCGTGTTAGAGTCAGTGGGCCAAAGCCAGTGTCATCCTGAAGAGAGTGAGTAGGCTGAAGCCTGTTAGAGTCAGTGGGCCAAAGCTAGTGTCATCCTGAGGAGACAGTAGCTCAAAGCTTAAGCCTTTTAGAGTCAGTGGGCCAAAGCTAGTGTCGTCCTGAGGAGAGTGAGTAGCCCAAGCTTCTTACAGTCAGTGGGTAAAAGCTAGTGATGCCCTGAGGAGTGTGAGGTAAACCTCTGTGTGAGAGAAGCTAGGGTCGTCCCGAAGAGTGTGAGTAGGCCGAAGCCTGTTGGAGTCAGTGGGCCAAAGCTAGTGTTGTCCTGAAGAGAGTGAGTAGGCTGAAGCCTGTTAGAGTCAGTGGGCCACAGCTAGTGTCATCCTTAAAGAGAGTGAGTAGGCTGAAGCCTGTTAGAGTCAGTGGGCCAAAGCTAGTGTCGTCCTGAGGAGAGCGAGTATGCTGAAGCCTTTTATAGTCAGTGGGCCAAAGCTAGTGTCATTCTGAAGAGAGTGAGTAGGCTGAAGTGTGTTAGAGTCAGTGGGCCAAAGCTAGTGTCATCCTGAAGAGAGTAGGTTGAAGCGTGTTAGAGTCAGTGGGCCAAAGCTAGTGTAATCCTGAAGAGAGTGAGTAGGCTGAAGCCTGTTAGAGCTTGTGGGCCAAAGCTAGTGTCGTCCTGAAGAGAATGAGTAGACCAAGCTTCTTACAGTCAGCTTCTTACATATTATTTCACTACAAAGAAAAGACTCAATGAAAGACCTGTTTGTTTTTTGTTCTTTTTATCACTTGGGGCTGCTGGTGCCTGGTCACGCTGTTGCTAATAAGTTACTCTGTCGTGCATTTATGAGGAGAGTCTTTTGTTATTAAGCTAGCGTCATCCTGAGGAGAGTGAGTAGGCCAAAGCCCATTAGAGTCAGTGGGCCAAAGCTAGTGTCGTCCTGAGGAGAGTGAGGTAAACCTCTGTGTGAGAGAAGCCTCGTGTGAGAAGGCTGCTGTGTGTAAAGCTACCGTGTATTTGTTTATTTGTGTTATGGAAACCTGGTTGTAAACAGTTCAACCATATTATTTCTAAACAATTTCTACTAAAATAATGTATAAATATTACAATAAATAGAGCGGCCCTATATCGTGGTTTTTTACTTATTGCGGGAGGTCCTGGAACGTAACCCCCCGCAATAAGTGCGGGAACATGGTATAACTACAACATTCCATAGCGTTCACTTATGCCCGTTAAAGTGATATCAAGCTGCTTTTCATTGTACAGTGTGGATGCCCCCTGTGACTCGCACAAGTGGGTAATCGTGCACTTGCACCGCCCAATCCATTTGTGGAGGTCCATCGCTTCAAGAGCGATGGTTACGGATCTGCAGCCTGCCTTCTCCCCCTTCCTCTCCACGCCGCATGGCTGCTGTTCAACTGGGCTGCCCTCCCTTGGAGCCCCTTCCCGGCTCTGCAGCCAGACACGTTCTGACGGAGGGGAGCTGCGGTGGGGCTTTCTCCACGCATGTTCCTTCCACTACTGCAGCCATTGTCTTCATTCAAGCTGGCAGCTCCCAGCCAAGTGGCTTTTTATGTATATGGGTCCCCATGTGATGCTCATTATGGCAACGTGTTGGTGTCAAGGTGACATAGAGGAAGCTCCCTCCTTCCCCATCAGCCTCTTTTATGTGCTGCCTCCCGGTGCATCCCAGCGCTCTCCTTGCCTCCACCCGAATCCTATATCTCAGATTTACACATAGCTTTACACATAGCAGCATTTACACTGGAACTTTCTCACACGAGGCTTCTCTCACACAGAGGTTTACCCCACACTCCTCAGGATGGCACTAGCTTTGACCCACTGACTCTTAACAGGCTTTGGCCTACTCACTCTTCTCAGGATGACAATAGCTTTGACACACTGACTCTGACAGGCTTCGGCCTACTCAATTTCCTCAGGATGACACTAGCTTTGACCCACTGACTCTGACAGGCTTCGGCCTACTCACTCTCTTCAGGACGACACTAGCTTTGACCCACTGATTCTACCAGGCTTTGGCCTACTCATTCTCCTCAGGACGACACTAGTTTTGGACCAGTGACGCTAACACACTTCGGCCTACTCACTCTCCTCAGGACGACACTAACTTTGACCCACTGACTCTAAAAGGCTTCAGACTACTCACTCTCTTCAGGACGACACTAGCTTTGGCCCACTAACAGGCTGCGGCCTACTCACTCTCCTCAGGACGAGACTAGCTTTGGCCCACTAACAGGCTTCGGCCTACTCGCTCTCCTCAGGACGACAGTAGCATTGGACCACTGACTCTAACAGGCTTCGACCTACTCACTCTCTTCAGGATGACACTAGCTTTGACCCACTGACTCTAACAAGCTTCAGCCTACTCACTCTCCTCAGGACGACACTAACTTTGGCCCACTGACGCTAACATGCTTCGGCCTACTCACTCTCCTCAGGACGACCCACTGACTCTAACAGGCTTCAACCTACTCACTCTCCTCAGGACGACACTAGCCTTGACACATTGACTCTAACAGGCTTTGGCCTACCCACTCTCCTCAGGACCACACTAGCTTTGGCCCACTGACGCTAACACGCTTCGGCCTACTCACTCTCCTCAGGACGACACTAGCCTTGACCCATTGACTCTAACAAGCTTTGGCCTACCCACTCTCCTCAAGATAACACTAGCTTTGACCCACTGACTCTAACAGGCTTCGGCCTACTCACTCTCCTCAGGACAAGGCTAGCTTTGATCCACTGACTCTAAAGCTTCGGCCTACTACCTCTCCTCAGGGCGACACTAGCTTTGACCCACTGACTCTAACAAGTAGCCCCAAGTGATAAAAAGAACAAAAAACACACAGATCAATATTATCTCTTTCATGGAGGCTTTTCTTTGTAGTGAAATAATATGGTTAAACTATTACAACAAGGTTTCCATAACACAAATAAACAAATACACAGAATCTTTACATGTAGCAGCCTTCACACTGCAGCTTTCTCACATGAGGCTTCTCTCACACAGAGGTTTACCTCACACTCTTCAGGACGACACTAGCTTTGGCCCACTGACTCTAACAGGGTTTGGCCTACTCACTCTCCTCAGAACGACGCTAGCTTAATAACAAAAGACCCTCCTCATTAATGCATGGCCGAGTAACTTATTAGCAGTGTGAGTTTTCTCACATGAGGCTTCTCTCACACAGAGGTTTGCCTCACACTCCTCAGGATGACACTAGCTTTGACCCACTGACTCTAACAGGCTTTTCTTTGTAGTGAAATAATATGGTTGAACTATTACAAAGGGGTTTACATAACACAAATAAACAAATACACAGTATCTTTACA